TTTTCTTTTTCTTTTTTTTTTTTTTTTTTATCTTTTTTTCTTTTTAATGTTTAGTGTTGAGTGTCCTCTACGGTTGGTGGGGAGTTAAACGTAGTCTTATTTATCACATGGATAATCAAGGGGTGGTGAGGGAGGAAACGAACTCCCACACAGGGAATAATACTGTAAAAGAGGAGAAAACAACAATATCATCATCGACACAAGAAACACAAACGTCACATTCAAACTGTAGTGATATCGACTCTAACAGTTGGTCCAAATATCTTCGAGAGACATCATCTATATTCTGTGAACTTGAGCATGAACGGACTGCTGGATGGAATTCAAAGGCATTGGACAACTGGTATGAACAACAACGGCAATGCAAACATCCCAAAGGGAATGATAATAGCAAAAGTGTAACGAACGCTCCTACTACTTCATTTGCTGGAACTGATGTTGCAAAATTGTGTGATCGTTACTGCACTCACGCCGGTCGTATCTTAACTAATGCTGCTCCAGAGTACTTTAAACCTCATCCAATCACACGTGCAAGACGGCGACAACAACAACAACAACAACAATGTCAATCACAGAAATACGATGAAGAAAGTACTCCAACTTTTCTTGACCTTGGTTCTGCTCCTGGTGGCGTCTCGAAATTTCTCGTCACTCGGTTACATTGGAATGGGATTGGGGTTTCACTACCAGAAAGCCGCGGTGGTATTGCATCAGACGCATCTTGGATACCTTCATCATCTACAGAACCTCCTTACAAATTTATTGAAGGAAGCATTCTGGAAGATGATTGGCAAGGAGCTATTAAAGGACAAAAGTTCTTTTTCGTTAACGGGGGTGCAGTGCAAGACCATGGACAGCGTGAAAGTGAAAAATCAGATAATAATAATAATAATAATAATAATAATAATAATAATAATAATGAGAATGTCTCGTCCTCACTCTCACCATTAGCACCACCACCGTGGTTTAACTTCCTTGTGCCTCAGCTGCGACTTGCAGTGGAGCATGTTGAGGATGGTGGCGTTATAATGATCGTATTTGGTGTACCTCAGTCTGCGAGTCTTTTTATCATGCTGGAACTCATGCAGCCGCTTGTACGTGGTGACATTCACATTGTGGAAACCATGCATTTGACGAAGTCTCCTGTGTATGTGATCTTAACTGATATTCGCATGGCGAGTGACGGTGCTGATCGGGTGGCGTGGGAGTTGCTGCTGCGACGCATGAGTGAAGGCGCTGGGGACTTTTGGCGGGGCGCCACACCCGACGGGCTGCGGCTTGCGGTGAGTGGGTTTGCACGGCACCGTGGGGGTGTGGAGGCGGTGTGGGCGAAGACCACAGCCTTCCTGCGACGGCGTCGCGTCTCTGCGGAGCGGGGCATGGCGGCAGCAGCAGCAACAGTCGTGAGTGGTGATGGTGCGGGGAAGAGGCAGCGTGAGTAGTGTTTCTCTCAGCCATCAGTGAGGGGCGACAGTCCCTCATGTCTCTTTTTTTTTATTTTTCTTTTTGTGACTGTGCGTCTTGGCCAGGTACTGCGTGACTGCTTGTGGTAATGGTTATAGAGTTAATGCGTTACCTTGAGCGGAGGCATCTTTTTCTTGTTCTCCTCTCTCTCTCTCTTTTTTTTTTTTGCGTGTGTGTGTTGGTTGTCTACTTGCACGAAAACAAACACGTACTAGGGGTGTAGAACAAACCAAACAGAGAATCAAATCAAGCTGAAGAAGACATCACAGAAATGGAGGCAGACGTTGGGATGCCATCACCTTGGCTTTCGTCACCACGACATCCTCTTTCAGGGTCATCATCTGGACCTGATTACCCTTCAGCAGATGTGAATGTAGAAGGAAGAGACTCAAGGTATGCAGCAGACAGTTCGACAAAGAAGATCGTAAATGAAACCCCTGTGGGCAAGATGAAGTATGGACTTCCTCCGTTAGACGCTGAAACACGAAATTTGGTTGCTCGCATGCGCGATCTTGTGTATAACCAACGCCGCACCGACGAAGTGAAAATTAATAAACCCG